CGTCGGCATCACTGCTTTCATCGAGCACCCAATTGTCCAACGATTAAAACATTAACAGTGACTAATGCATCACTATACAGTACATTAACCAATGATATGTAACATTGTGTTACTACTGTTACATCAGTATGAATGAATCACTTGATTATCTGGCCGGCAGATGTCGATCATGTATGGTGCAAGGCAACTCACTGACAGACTATGCAGGCAGGCAGGCAGGCAGCCAGCCTCGGAGACAGCAGGGTCCTGAGGACGTCACTGCCACCCGGCACTGTGTAGTCAGCATGTCATGCTGGGTAACCTTTTGGAATCCAAGTTGCGCACACTACCGCTGAGGTCTCCAATCGGACAGTCTAGCTCTGCTGGCTAGATCGTCGAATTCAAAATCCTCTAAGCACACGCAAACCCGGCACTCTGCCTTCCCCAACATCCGTAATGCGGTCTCGGAGGCTGTACAAACACGATGAATCACTGATTCATCATTGACGACAGAGCTTCGTCTCGCACGTCATTGTAATATAAAATTCCTGGCACTCTGCCTTCACTGTAATCCTGCATAAATCTCGGAAAGAGTACGTGCAGGATCATATCATTGATATGCCAGTCTACTTGCAAGACATGCCCACGCTCTTCAGAATTCAGAAAGAACCACAATGTCGAAAAGGACTCCTCTAGCAGCGCGTCGAAATAAATCACATAATCATCGTAGTCACTGTCCATGATCGAGGCCACAGTGCTTGCACGCTCATCGGCAACCAGAATCCAGTCCGAGTCCAGAGACTCACTGTCACTGCACGACATCGACGACATCTGCCGGCTTGCAGGGGGGCCTACTACGACTTAGACTAGAGACAGAGCAGGTCGTCGGCATCACTGCTTTCATCGAGCACACAATTGTCCAACGATTAAAACATTAACAGTGACTAATGCATCACTATATAGTACATTAATCAATGATATGTAACATTTTGTTACTACTGTTACATCAGTATGCATGAATCGCTTGATTCTCTGGCCGGCAGATGTCGATCATGTATGGTGCAAGTCAACTCACTGACAGACTATGCAGGCAGGCAGCCAGCCTCGGAGACAGCAGGGTCCTGAGGACATCACTGCCACCCGGCACTGTGTAGTCAGCATGTCATGCTGGGTAACCGTTTTGAATCCAAGTTGCGCACACTACCGCTGAGGTCTCAAATCGGACAGTCTAGCTCTGCTGGCTAGATCGTCGAATTCAAAATCCCCTAAACACACGCAAACCCGGCACTCTGCCTTCCCCAAGATCCGTGATACTGTCGCGGAGGCTGTACAAACACGACAAATCATTGATTCAGTGACGACAGCCATTCGTCTGTCACATTGAAATATAAAATTCCTGGCACTCTGCCTTGCCTAAAATCCCGCAAAAGTCTCGGAAACAGTACGAACATGATCTGTTCATTGATATGGAAGGCTGCTCGAAAGACTTGCCCACGCTCTTTAGAATCCAGAAACATCCACAATGTCGAAAAGGACTCCTCTAGCATCTCGTCGAACGGAATCACATAATCATCGTCGTCAGCACTGTCCGCGACCGAGCCCGCAGTACTTGCACCCTCATCGTCAACCAGAACCCAGTCCGAGCCCACAGACTCACTGTCACTCCACGACATCGACGACATCTGCCGGCTTGCAGGGGGGCCTACTACGACTTAGACTAGAGACAGAGCAGCTGTAACACGACTATAGTAGATTACGCAGGGCAACAGCGAGCACAACTGCTGCAGCGGCAAGTTGCGATACATGACACGCTCACTGACTATGCAAGGCAGCTTGTCCTCTGCGATGGCAGCATGTCCTCAGGATCCTCGTCATGAGCCTCGGTGCCAGGACTGTACCATAATAATGGAAGTAGCTGAAGCAAGCTGATGCTGAGATCCCAGCAGTTGGCATCCACTTCTCGATGGGCTGGAAGCCGATGAAGACCGATGGGAGAGAAGGAAATGGAAGAGAAGGCGTTCACTAGGCTTGGATTCAAACCGAACACTTAGACCTGGCCAACGGTGTGGGGAGCAACCCCGATGGGGCAGGGACTTAAGTAAGGCAACCTCGAGAGGCTCGACTGGCACTCTGCCTCTGTCGATCCAAGTCGCAAGGCTCCCTAACTAACGTGACAAGCATGGATGGCCTCCCCTCCTGGTTGGGAGAAAAATAAAAAAGCCACAACCACTGGACCACCCCACCCGGCACTTTAGCCCATGTGCCCGGGTGTCATATGCCACTGCCCTGGCACGTTGGCCCCAAGGCGGTCCAGGTACCATCGACAACACCTGACACCCGGCCAACGGTGTCCACGAACCGAGATGGGCAGTCGATCCGTGTGGGTAAGGTGGCACTCTGCCTCTGTCGATCCAAGTCGCAAGGCTCCCTAACTAACGTGACAAGCATGGATGGCCTCCCCTCCTGGTTGGGAGAACAAATCAAGCCGCAACCACTGGACCACCCCACCCGGCACTTTAGCCCATGTGCCCGGGTGTCATATGCCACTGCCCTGGCACGTTGGCCCCAAGGCGGTCCAGGTACCATCGACTCAGCACCTGACACCCGGCCAACGGTGTCCACGAACCGAGATGGGCAGTCGATCCGTGTGGGTAAGGGCAAGGTCTCAAGGCAAGTCAACATGTCACTACGGCCTCCCTTCTTTGTTCAATCACAACCCAAAACTATTTAAAAAGATTAAATTTTAAAAATTATTAACTTCAACAACAAATAAACAACAATTTTGTAGACATACAGCAGCAGGAAACCAGGTAGAACAACAGGAAGCCAATTGACTCACTCAGAAACAAAATTCACAAACATGTATTTTTTACACCAAAAATAAAATAAAAGAATTTTAACAACTGTAAAACACAAAAAAAACCTATTTAAAAAACTTTTAAATACAAAACAATACTTTTAAATACAAAAAAACACTTTTAAACACAAATAAAGCCAACCACATACAAAAATGAGATTTTGGGTTCCTTTCATATAAGCCTTGTTGATCTAAACCCTGTGGTTCTGGTTCGGCGCAAAGGGTTAAGGAATGAACCCCTGTTACAGGAACCCTTACAGACCCGTTGAAGCAACCAGCATATAAAAGCAACCAGTACATATGTATATATATATATATATCCCTTAACGTAACCCTAAACAAGTCCTCTCAAAGGAACCCTTCTAGATCTCTTTAAGGAGCCTGTCTAGATACGGTCCAACGAACCGTCATGGATCCTTAAGGGAAACCTAGATTAGCCCACATGGATCCCTGAAACGAACCCCTATCGATCCCGTATCCTAACCCTTATGGACGCCCCTAAACCTACTTGTCGGGTCTCATGGGGAACTAAAGGTTAACTTTTTTTGGTTATATAGGGATTATATACGGACTATACTACCCAAAAAAGGTTAAAGGTTGCCGACTCTACTACTGGCTAAAAGAACCCTTATTAATAGATCCCCTTACGGGAAATAGGTAAGGCATAGCTAGAGCTCGGCTCCCCAGCAAGCAGCCCGGCCTTGCCGTAGCCACGCTCAAACAAAGGAACGTCTAAACACCTGATGTAGAGTTCAGGGGTTCAGGGCTTGTTGTTGAGGATTTGGTCCAGGAAGTGAGGCTAAGGTTTTTGGGGTCAAGCTTGTGGACTAAGGGCTTAGAATGTGCCGTTTGGAAAAAAGCTTCCGGATTTGAGGTTCAGATTTCGCCTGTGATAGAACTACTGGAAATGCGGGGCTCTAAATCCTCACGATGGGAGTCACAACAATTCCTCTTTTCCGACAGTTTGTATACATGACTTGAAACCGCTTGACGATAATGATGATGCCTATCCGAGGTATCCATAAACTAAGCCCTAAACCCTAAACCATGGATACTTAAAGATGGCGACTGGGCTGGCTGGACTCCCCGTAGCTCAGAGATTCAGGCTGGGGTTGCCTGCTTTGCGGCACGGGGGGAGGGTTGAAGAGGTTGCTGGCTTGTATATTCGCAGAATTTCACAGACATGCTGCTGGACAAACAGGTAAACGTAAACGAACACCAACATGGCTAAGGAATGAAAGAAAGAACAAGGAAAGACTGAATGAACTAATGAGTGGGTGAAACGTTGAATCTGTGGATCGGTGATTGATTGAGTGAGCGAGTGGGTGGGTGAGTGAGCGAGTCCGGGTTACCTACCTACCTACCGACTTCCGATTTCTACAATCATACATGCATTCGTGCATACATGCATACATACAAAACTACATGCATCCACACATACATACTTACAGACATACAGACATACATGTCGTATGTTAGTAAGACAGGGAAAAGGCAACAACGAACATCATCATCATCGTTATGACAACCATCCTCATGGTTCATGATCATCATCAGAAACTGCAACAACCCAGGCCCAAATCCGAAAGCGAAAACTGCACAACCATAAAAGCAGTGTATCCCGAATGGACATAGCTATGAACCCCGCGCAGAAAACCGCAAACCCCCTATAACTGCCATACCAAAGGGCCTTGGCACCTTCAAAACATTTTCAAGGTGCTAGTTCGTCGGTGGCGATTATCCGGGCAAACGTAGACGCTGCACCCTTAAACCTCACTGGCCCAAAACCCAAGGAAATTAAAGTTGAAACTTTCAGAATCGACTACCTTGTAAGAACCCCAAAAGTTCAAAAGTTGAGTTTACAGCCAATAAGAAACCTAGCTGTGGGCAGGAGGGTCTCCCTGAATCAAACCTGACCATGTCGCGGGTTCTGCTTGGGGTCTGGTACAAGGAGATCAGTCACTAAAATACGGTTTCGGGGTATTTCGGGGCATTGATATTTTACCACAAGAACACAAGGAACACCAAGATAGTAGTAGTTACTGGTAAGTATGCAGGCCACTTTCCGTACAACACTGAAACTTCATTCTTTACGGCTTCGGGTTTAGGTTAACCCTTAGGACAACTGGAACCCTAAACCCTACTAAACCCTGAATGGAAGCACCTGGAGTGCGTCTTCAGCTGTTCCACTGCACCCGCACGGAAAGTGTCGCAAGCACAAATGAGGACCTCGCTCCCAGGCTCTCAGGATCTAGGCCTAAGAGTAACCTAGGAATAAAAAGGGTGCCCTTTTTGGGTTAAAGAGGGTTATAAGAGAACCTAAACCCTAAAAAAAGGGAATAAGGGCCTACTCTGGGCCCTAGGGATTGCTGGTTCAGGGTTTAGGGCTTGGGCCTTAATACATTCAACAGGGGATTTCTTAAAGGCTTCCTCGAGAGCTCTATAAATATGAGGGCCTTCAAAGCAGAATAGGGCTTTGGCGTACATTCAATCAAACTATAGATGGGGGACTATGACGGGACATTCATTTGTTTTATCAGTTTTTGGCATTTAATTGCTCTCATAGATACGCTGATGACCAACCATTGATCACAATTACCATCGATGCATGGGCCGGGTATTCTCACCGTTGTTGGCTCGGATGCGATGCGAAGAGTAAGAATCTCATTGTGCCTGCTTTGCTTGGTTGCTGAGTTCATAAGCCCCAAAAGTGCACACTTTTAGTTTTATCGTGGGTAATATTATCACAAAAACGTGTAAAGTGTATCCACTCAGCTACTGGGTTTGTAGTGCAGCTTTAGCGCCTGGGGCGTGTGTGCTCGGGCTTCAAGGATGTCTTGTCTCAGAATTTCTGATTGCTGGGTAGCATGTCTAAGCCTAAGCCATCCGCAGCGCCCTGCAGTCCCGCAACTTCCATAGAACCCTCAGACACCAATGTCATGCCTCGAAACGCACGCAGCACAAGCCGCCGCTAGACACCACTGACTAGGCTCGCCTTTGTCTCGTGATTAGAAAAACACCTTATGTCCTAAACGTCCTCGCAAGCTGTTCTCACGAGCGGGGTATGCAAATAGGTTAAGCCCCAAAGCTACATGGTTCAATATCAGGGTTCTGGATCCCCAACTACGGAGTACTACCCGTTACAAGGGTGACAGTAACTCAACCCTACCTAATGGCTCCGGTGACTAGTAAGTAGGCTGATTTATAGCTGGGACAACTCAACCGTACAAAAGGGCTTCAGGGACTTAGCAAGTAGGCTTACAGTTGGGGTTATCATTCCCTTGAGTGCGTTACTCTAATTCAAGTACCAATTATAGCCTTACGTAGCGATAACCTTACTCACTTTGTCCCTGTATACTAGCCACTGTCGGCTTCAGGGCGCATGCTGGGAAAGCGGCGTTCAGCCCACCTTTGTGCTTCAAATAATACGCAACCTCGGCAGGAATAGGGCTATAGGGGTTAGGGGTTTAGGGGTTTAGGGTTTAGGGTTTAGGGATCTTGATTTCGCAGCTCCAAGGTATCAAAGCACTAACTCCAAGTCAGCTAAGGCCCTAAAAATCACTACCCCAAATGGGTGGTTATCAAAATTAAGGTCCCTTTTTGGGTCCCTAATACAGTATGGCACCTACTATTTAGGGTACCCAAACAGGGACCCTATTTTTGACAACCACCACCCAAACATATCCTAGACCAATATATATATATATATATATATATATATAGACGGTCTATGTAGGGGCAGGTATAGAAAAGGGTTAGATTTTTGTTGATCAAGATAGGGAGGTCCAAGCAACGAAACCCTACAAGTCTTGAAGCCATCTCAACCCTAAACCCTGAAGCCCAAGGACTAGAACCTATGAGAACCCTAAACCCTAAACCCTAGGCCCTTTATTACAAGGGCTTTTCGGCGCGAAGGCTCAGGTTCAGGGCTCGGGTCACATCAACTGCAGGGTTTTGTAGTCTTTGAAGGGATCTATAGGGTTGGGATTGTCGGGCTTTGGGGGTGTGGAATAACACGGAGATTGCTTCCAAAAGGATCTATATGGGTTCCCTGCAAGGTTCTATAGGAGATTAGGGTTTAGGGTTTAGGGCTCGAAGGAGCAAATCCCCTCAGGTTTTCAGATTTGCTGTATGGTTTCTTTTTCGCTGCGCCGTGTTGGCTTCTTGGGCGGAAACACTGCATGTATGATAAAGGCTTTTTCTGTTGGCCTTCTATGTCACTTCTGGGATATTGCCTGAGAGCCCCCAATGAACTACTCGTCCATGTGGCTCTGGGTGAACATCCGACGCCACAAAACTACAAGGCCATCATAAGCCCTCATCCCCAGGCAAGCCGAAGGCAAGAGACCCAAAACCCGGAAAGCCCTAAATTCCAAGGCCCCTAAACCCATTAATTAAAGGAGGCTTAGGGTCTAGGGCTCAGGGATTTAGGGTGCAGGGCCTAGGGGTTCAAGGTTTAGGGCTTAAGGCGCCCAACCCTGAAACCGCCTGCCAAAAGGCAAGAAGGCCCCTGACCCCACTGTGGGACCACTGAGCAACGGGCTTTGGCGAGGTTCGTGGACTTGCCCACGCCGTTCACACCCAAAAAAACAATAGTGTACACCTGCCATGGAATTCTTGGAGACACTCTTCGGTGCTCAGGGTTCCGTGACTGAGGTTTGGGTGTTGACGTTTAGAATCCAAGGATAAAAGGAGGGACCCTTAATAAGGACCCCGGTATATACCCTTAATTTATAGCTATGATATACCCATTATATAGCCCATTACAGGGTAGGGGTCCCAATTAGTTGTCTGTAGATGGCAAAGACCATGGCATGGTGTTGCTGGAGGAAGTCCCGCACTTGATCCACAGGACTATCCCAGGCCATGAGATCCAGGGCGTGCTCCGAGGCCCGCAGCTGTTGCAGCTGCACAGCAGCGTCGCGGTCAATGACGTGGAATTGGTGTTGGATCCAGTGATCCTCACCTGTTTCATCCTTTCCCACAGGCCAAATCTGTGTCAAGTCAAAGCCCGCCTGCAGCGCTTTGTGCATGAACTCGTGTTCCGAGACGTCCGGAGGAGTCTGGTAGTCACAAAAGCGCACGGCATGTAGCGTGTCCATCCACATTATTACTTTTATTTGCAATTGGCTATTCCGTCGAGGTGCAGCTCCGCAACTGCAATGCCCACAAGGATTTGCCGCAGTCAGGGCCGCTTCGCAAGTTCACAATGGGGTTATGCCCAGAAGCCCGCAACATGCGGATGATCTCCATGTCCTCCAGGCTGGTACCTGATGTTGGCAGCCGCACGCTCCGTCATAATCGGTTGAGCCGTCCCTCCTTTTCCCCGTTGATAGAATGAAGAGTTTACATACATGCTCTACGGGCTTCCGAAGTCACAGCCGCATCTAACCGTCCCAAGAACAAATCAAGAAAAAGGATTGTCGCATGGGTGTAGGGTCTAGGGTGTTTTGTTAGGTACTGCCCCCATACAGTAAAAGTCTATAATAGGGCTACTTTGAAGGTCCTACTATATCCATATTGTGAATATTATTCAATTATTACTGAGTGGGGGCCGTACCTAAGGTGTAGGGTCTAAGGGTTTAGGGTTTAGGGCCCTGACCCCACATGCCGAAGTGAGTCCCTTGAAAGAAGACCCGTCTGCCCATAGAGCCGCGACTCCCGATGAAAAGCTCCCTTAGCCTTAGCCCCTCACCAGAAAAACTCCAAAGCCAGATACAATAAACCCACGTGAACCCTAAACCTTCACCCAGTCGGGTATCATGGGGAGCTAAAGGTTAACCTTTTTGGTTATATAGGGATTATATAGGGGCTATACTACCCAAAAGAGGTTGAAGGTTACCTACTCTACTAATTACTACGGTTGGTGATATGAATCCTGCATTACCCATAATAAGGAGTATACCATAATTCCCATAGTTCAGGGTCCTTAAGTAAGGTAATGCAAGATTTATATCATCAACCGTAGGAGCCTGAAGCCTCAACCCTAAGCTTCTAAAATTCAAAACCTCAAACAAAAACCTAACCGCCCTACTTGGAGGTTCATGGGCAGTTCTAAGTAAGGTTATAAGTAGGGTAACTATAGTCATAACCCATATTCGGAGACTTATAGCCACACGTATAACTACCCATGAACCTCCAAGTAATTCCTAACTGAGCAGCTCTCCCATCCTCGCGCCTGCAGCGATACTTACAGTCTCCATTGTAGTTCCTTTTTTGGTTAACAAAAAACTCTATTTCTAGGATCCTCACCATAAAATTGGTTGGGATGTGTCGCGGGGGCTGGTCGGCATGCCTCCCATAACAGGGTTACTTGTCAAGGTCGTCATAGACATCTACGCTTGCTGTGGCCATCTAACAGTCGCAATCGTATGCCGTGATTGCCCTAGAATGCAGTGCGGAATGTCAATGCAAAAAGAGAGTTATCCAAAAAGGCCACGAGGCACTGCAAAGACCCGCAACCTGGATGCATTGCGGACGAGTCGGGCTTTAAGTCCCTTAACCGTAATCTAACCACATAGCCATAAAACACACATGGGGCCAATCAAGTGCAATGCTTATGCTTGAACCCCGCTCTATTCTGTCAACTCTGCACTGGCTCTCCTGGTTTTGCTACGTACTGCATCACGGTTACAGCACCAACAACACTGGCCGATTTCACAATAAGCGGAGTACCCGACAAGCAGGCGCATGTCCTCATGCGCTTGCGACGCCCGTAAAAGAAATGATGAGCCCGGTGGCACTTCCTTGCAGCACCCACCTACAAGTTGCCATTTGGCCTCCACCACATGTCTGCGGCAAGCAGAGCTGTCCTCGGGATTACGTGACTCCCAGGGCTTGGGCGCGGGTTGCTTCGAGACTGGGAAGAAGCGTCTGAAAGCTTCAAGCTTCCACGTTGCATCCCCTCAGCGGACGGCGGCAAACCCAAAACCACTAGAAATCGCTGGGCTACAGTTGCTGTTCACCGAATAGCTTGGGAATATAGAGCGCTGTCAACTTTGACAAAAGCGTTCCATTCGGCAGCTTCCTCGGGCATCTGGTTGCGTTGGCCTGCACCAGTTTCAAGAAAGATTTGACGAAAAGCTGGCGGTAACGGAGATCGCCCCCGGTGCTGCATGCATCTTCAAAGCCGGCTCCATGGCCAGTGTAAGCGTGTGGCAGTCACAGATGTGGTGGAGCACGCCGATGTTGTGTTGGGAACGCAGCGTCTGAGCCAGGTGAAGCACATAACGGATGTTGGCAGAGTGGGGGTTGGGATCGTACGTGCAGGCGAAGCTAGCTGGACGAGCCGCTTCCCCTCCTCCCGCGAGCGGTGCGTTCCGAGCCTCGGTTTTTTTCTCACATTGATCTTGCGCACAGGTCATGTCCCTGTTCGTCGGGTGGGGTGGCGGAGTAGTGGGAATGGGCGGCGATTGGCCGTGGTGGCTTGGTCGGAATGATTGGCGGGCGGTGTTGTGACCTGTGGTTCTGATGGTGGTCGGGTGCTGGGCTGGTGGAGGTGTGGGTGGCCACTAACAAGTCCTACTGTATATTAGTGGCATTGCGTCGTGCTGTTGTGCAGAAGAAATGAAGCTGAGACTTTGCAAGCCTTATGCCCAACACCGCCCAAAATCTTCCTGCTGGAACAGCCTGTCTTGCCGCGCGGGTATCCCTGTAAAACCGTTCAAACAACGCCGGAAGAACTTGGTCTTGTGTCCGGATGAGAACGTTCTGGTTCATGAACTGGGCGCAGGAAAGCGAAAGACAGGGGAATTGTGCACGTGCTTGGGGGGAGTCGAGGAAAACTTGACGCTGCTGCCCTCGCGCTTTGGCAAACTCAGTTCAACTGTCTTTTGTGCTCGTCCCGCCTCCCCCCCACCCCATTTGCATGCAGCCACTTCTTCCAAACAGCCGGGTCCGTCTGTCCCAGCTGCTGCAGGAAAGGGTCCGACCCGAACAGCGTCCTGAATGGCTGCCGCAACATCCCCGTTGTCGTCGGACTCTGGCGGCTCCACGAACAGAGCTGCCAGGCAAGCATCTCCAGCGTCATCGTCATCGAGCAAATCCATTCTCAGCTCTCGGTTATCGTAAGTGTTGCGGCAATGCTGCAGAATATGTGCTGTGCCGAGCTTGGCTACCGGGTGCGTCAAGACGCCATTGTTGGAACAACATCTCAACCAAGCAAGGACCTCTCCGCGGCCTTTCGGTTAAGGGTGAAACTGGCTGCGGTAAGATAGAAATCATGGGCGATACTAAGGCTGCAGCATACGGTTCATTGGATTTAGCACAAGTGCGACTGAACCAACAACCCCAAACAATAGAATCGAAGTTGCCAGAATGAACTGCACCGATCTCTTGTTGCTTTGCTCATGCCAAGCGATTGAATGAAACTGTCGCCACCTACAAGATGCTGCCCAAACCTTGGACCCGTACCGACGGAACAAACATACTTTGTATGATGTTGCACTGATACAACATGGACGTCCCTTCTTGAAAACCCCAGTGCGCAATGCATTACACTTTCGGCAAATGAATAACCAACTGTGATAGTAGAAAAAGGCACATAAGGACATGGATGCAATGTCGTCCTTGCAGGGAACACACTTTATCTTGGGATTGACAGACCAGCCAACCACCATCACCCAAAAATTGGTCAGCCAAAAAAAGGGAACTACAACGGAGACGATAGGTACAACGAACCCCTCAAGCCGATGGAAACCCGAAGGATTCCTGAGGTTCAGGGCTTTGGGTTTAGAACCCTTGGTTTAGCCCTCAACCCTAAACCCTCAACCCTAAACCCTAAACCCTAAACCCTAAACCCTGAACCCTCAACCCCGCAAGCTTCGAGTTTTTTAACCCCTGGTTTTGCAGCTGCGGGCTGGGAGCTCGGGGTTTCAATCCGGCTTTGAGGTTTCGGAGCTGTATGGCGGCGCGTAGAGTTCAGTCTGAGGGTTCGCGCTTTGGAGCTTTGGGTTCAGGGTTTGGAGCCTAGGGTTCGGTTTTAGAAAGTTTGGGCTTTACGGTTTTGGGGCTTAGGGTTCAGTTTTAGAGACTTTTGGGTTCACGGGTTTGAGGCTTAGGGTTTAGGATTTGGGACTGAGGAGAAAGGCCTAGATCGTAACGGCGAGATCCGGTTGATGATATAAAACCTGCATTACCCATAATAAGGAACATATGGGAATTATGGTATATTCCTGATTATGGGTCATGCAGGATATATATCATCAACCGTCCCTTTCCAACTGCCCGGTCGGTGGTGCCCGTCCCGCGTTCTTCGCGGCGAGAGCTGCTCGTAACTCGGCTCCACTTGGAGGGGCAGGGGACTTCGTAAGTAGGTTATAAGCAGAGTTATAAGTACCCCTAAATGGAGTTACCCCAATAATAACCCTACTTACAAACGGCTTACTAAGTCCCCTGCCCCTCCAAGCAGGATGTGGAAGCGGGAGGAGAGCGTACTTGCTGAGTTCATAAGCCCCAAAATGTGTACACTTTTGGTTGTTATAGTGGGTAGTATTATCCAAAAAAGTGTAAGGTGTATCCACTCAGCTACTAAGCGAAGGTACGGTTGAGAGGGTGAGTTTGGTTGACAAGCATCGATCAAAGGGTAAAAGGAGGGACCCCTAATAAGGACCCCTAGGTATATACCCATAAGATAGCCATTATATACCCTCTATATAGCCCAGTATAGGGTAGGGCTCCCCATTAAAGGTCCCTCCCTTTTCCCTACTAAACCCTAAACCCTTATAGATCCCTTTAAAGGAACCCTAAGAGCCCTAAATTCAGGGTCCCTCCTTTTCCCCTTTGAATCGAGGTCTTGAGGTCCAGGGCTGAGGGCTTCGTGTTTCGGTGTGTGGGGACTGGAGGACTGGTCAGGCCTCGCATCTTGGCTTTAGGGTCTAGGGTTTAGGGTTTAGGGTTTAGGGTTTAAGGTTTAGGGTTTAGGGTTTAGGGTCTAGGGTTTAGGGTTTAGGGTTTAGGGTTTAGGGTTGGCATCTTGGACATATCCAAGAAGGGTATAAAGGTTTATATAGGGGTTTAGGGTTCAGGGCTTAGGGTTTAGAATGTTAAGCAGTCTACACTTCGAAGGTTTCAGGGTTTCCTAAACCTTGAATCCCAAACCCTGCATGAA